GTTCAAAATAGCAGGCATACGAAATAAAATTCACATTAAAAAAATACATAAATAATTAATGTGTTAAAAATAAATTATGTGATATGAAGTAGAGCAGCGCTGCAACGTATCACGTTAGGTGTTTTAATTGTATATTTGTCAGATAACCGATCAGGCGAATATTTAAAAATGATATCAAGCCTCCTCTTAACACAATTCTCTATACAAATCACATCAAACATAACAGCAGCTAAATTTATTGAACAGTGAAGCAAACCCAACAGTTTGCTGCTGATGCATTTCTATAACTGAGGTCTGACACGGTTACCAAAACGTGTCGACTAATTTTCTTGTACGAAGGACGTTTTAGGGAGAGAACTTCTTATGTTAAGTGACAAATTTCAGACAAGCTACTTATTGTATTCTTAACTGTCACTGTATAATCAATTTCATGTGTCAAAGAAACTCCGTCAGCTAGCGTTCCCAAACGGTCGCTCTCCACCCGTGGGGCTCACATCCTCCGTCCAGTCTGGCCCATCTGAGTCCCAAAACGCGATTTCAACAGAAAACCTGCAGGGTTGGCTCAGCAGGAGGTAGCATAAGACAAGCCTGAAATTTCCAAGCTGCTGCTGCTACAACAGATGGAATTATTTTTTTTTATTATTTTCAACGTATCTTTACAGGGATGCCAACAAGTTTGTCAGCAATGGTAAATTAAAAAAAAAAAAATAAAATAAATAAATATCCAGTCATATTTAGATTTTAAACTTGGCAGACAGAAAAGATTCTCTGAGTCGCAGGTGTGCAGCTCTCCTGGAAAGTCTTACTTTCTTTTATCTATATAACATATCCACGGGAAAAAAAAAGAAAAGAAAAAAAAAACTGTCTAAAAATTCTGCTGCCAAGATAAAATTGGATGGATTTAAAGCATTGTAAAACTCGGTTATGTTGCTATGGTTGCACCACCAGTAGCAGCAGCTTTTTTGTGTTTCACACCCTCCAGGAATGCCCAGGTAAAGTGGAATGAAAACGAATGTTAGCACCATGCAGCAAGTTTATTTTTTCCACACACACACACACACACACACACACACACACACACACACACACACACACACACACACACACACACACACACACACACACACACAAAAGCAGCAAATCTGTCAAAACATAAAAACCCACAAAGCCTTCAAATGCAGGACACTTTTCTGCACTCGAATAATTACACCTGAGTGACATATAAGTAGTTTTTTTTATAACATCCATTAACTCAGTGCAATACAGTTCCAGTTGGCAGAATTAAGAAAAAATAAAAAATAAATAAAAAAATCAGAGTGGGGTTGAATTTGTGTTGAAGAGGGACTTTTGACTGTACTCTGTCAACAAAACTGCACTAGCCAAGAAAAAAAAAAAAACAAAACAAAAACATTCAAATGCTAGTTCATTTTCAAACACTAAGTAGATTTTGAATTGGTGGGGAAGGACAAAATGTATTAACTGGGCTCTCGGCACCAATGCAGGTCATGGCTGCACTGTGAAAGTGGCATTAGTGAAATTGGACCCTTGAGGTTTTATATAATGCTGTTTTCCATCCGTGATTATACGCACGCACACCTTGGGACAACAGACATCACAGGGGTCACGCCGGATATCAATGACCGCAGCCCCGGCAGACCCGGATGCGAGAGCGTGCGCTTTGTTTGACCGGTGCGGACGTGTGTACGCCTGCTGATGCCCATGCATGCCGTTTGTGTTATTGTGTGAAGCCGTTGGTCTTTAATCCCCCAATCTGCTGAACCCTGGAAATCACTGCAGTCATCTGTCAGCCAGGTTGGAGTGGACACACACACACACACACACACACACACACACACACACACACACACGCGCACGCGCGAGTACACGCGCTTCTGGATGCTAGTCATTTATTCAGCAAGGCCAACCTCATTTCAGCCTAATGAAGATTGATGCACCTCTTTCCGGGCCTCACAGGTGTTGCAGCAAAATGCATGTATAAATATGTAACCCACATAGAGGAAGAGAGACAAAGACGAAACACTGAAGCTAAAAGCTATTCACTGCCTAATAATACTCATGTGTGAATAAACAAAGCAGAGACGCACCGATCAATCGGCCAGAGATCGGAATCAGCTGGTTTTGGCAACAGCCGCTCTGATCAGTAATTGGCAGGGCAAATGGCGGGAAAAATCGGAATCCTTCTAATCTGTAAAAGGCGTTAAAACTAAAATCCGCCACCGTTTTTGGCAAATATATGTTTCAACTGCCTTTTGTATGTCTAAAGTGCAAGCATAAACCTCGCAATTCCTTCATCTCCTGCAGAATCCAAAACTGCCTCGATCGAAGATCTGATCTGTGGCGCTTTCTCTTTCCTATACAACATAGTTTAAAGAAAAAAAAAACAAAAAAAAACAGGTGGTCAAACTTTCTGGCTCAGGCCTGAATGAAAACCGAAAAGCAGAAACTCCTTAAGACGGCGGCAAAGAAAAAGCCTGACTGGCACGTTACTGGAGCAAACACCTTCTGAGGACACACCAGATCTGCAGCATTTAAGGTAATCCTGTTTATCAACTGTGAATGTCCACCTCAGACATGAACCCGTGGCGCTCCGGGTCTTTAAGTCGAGTCTAAACATAGTGGCCCCATTAGCGCGTATATGTGTGTGAGCGTGTCTGCGAGTGCCAAATAGGACACCCTGAGGGCTTGTCTGGAGATTGCGGTTGACACGGCCTGCTGCTCTCCAGTGTGAGCTCCTATTAGCACTTAAGACTGCATATGCACACACAGCACACCGCCCGCCACGATTAGCACACCTTACCGATTAGAGGGGGGAAAAAAAACAACAACAAAAAAAAGACTCAAAGCGGGAGGTGGCCACGTTTGGACGGGACATATGGCTCGAGGGCAACATTTGTTTCCAAACGCGTGTGTTTAAAAATCTCCCAGCAGTGACCGCATGCAAATCTTAAGAGCTTTTCACTTCCATTTTGATTCCTATAGCTCCTTCAAAAGTTCAACATGAGAAGGTATGGAAAGAAGGGGGTGTGGGGGGGATCAAAGGGAGTTAGAGATCACACAAGCGCAGACTGGCTTGAAGAGAGCTCAAGGTGGAGGAAGAGATAAAGGGGCCGCAGAGAGAGAGAGAGAGGAAAGACTGTTCCAGCAAGATTGAAGTGTGAATTTCAGTGGGGCGTCTCATCATCAAGATCTCCGTGGCATCTGTGTGTCTGCGTGTCACAAGGTGCCAATGGCTGCCAGGCTCTAGCGTCTACAGCTGGTGTGTGGGCCTCAGCCTCTGACACCATGCATCCCGGCAAAAGTTTTTCTGTTTTTTTTTCCCTTTTCCTCCCTTGTGATTCCTAAAACTTTATGCTTGCGTGTGGCAATAAATCCTGGAAGAAGGAAGATGCACATACATATGATCAATGAATATTCATCCCAGAGTTAACGACGTCCCGCAGCCTTATTTTCTACTGCAGCTTATGGGGGAAAGAGAGGGTAGAGGAGAGGTGGGGGGGGGGGGGGGGGGGGCTGCCAGCTGGGCTGTGGCTTTCTGCTTCTCAGTGTCACCAGAGAGAGAGAGAGAGAGAAAAAAAACTTAGATCACGCACTGGAGGAAATAAATCAAAAGCAGAGCAAAACAGGCGCATCTGCACAGCCTTCATGTGTGATTTAACTCTACATAATAACTCTATAACGTTTCACAGTGAGTACAAGGCAGGGCAAAGAAAAACTAAATGACGCATGCAACATATTGCAAAGAGGTGAGCGGCGGCTTTGCGAGGGCGAGAAGGAAGAGTCAAGAACGGCGTCGGATGAGTTATCCGGGCAATTTCTGCCCAGAGATGCAACACACGGGCGTTGAGGTGTACGACATCCAGCTTTGCACCTGTTCATCCGTGTCCAAACCAGCTAGAGCAGAAGTTGTATTTATTTTTTTCACATTTATCTCCCTTTTGCTTCAGCATTTCTCATAAACGTCTTTCCAGAAGCTAATGACGGGAATGAGAACGCTAAAGTAAAGCATAAACTTTGACTTTTACGAGGATTATTAGCTCCAGCACTAGTTTTTATTTTTATTTTTAAGCATTTTGATGTCAAAACTTTCGTCAGCAGAGTAAATCTTTCAGCTCTTGACTGAAAACCCACAGATCAAGCGAACAAACAAAAAAAATCCCTATAAACATATCCTTAGGAGTATTGCTTGGCTCAAGTTATTTATCTAAAATAAATGTCTAATTATCTAGTTCTAAAAAAAAAAAATAGCACATCGATATGTTTTATCTCCCAATGTTTCGTGCCGTTTTTATATCTGCTATTGCCGAAGGAGCTCCCTCGTGTGTTTAGTTGTGTATGGGGTGGGCTAAGGGGGGAGGGAGCATTGCCCAGGGCGCCAATTACACAAGAACCACCACTGCATTCTGCCGATTCAAACCTATGATCCACACTATAAATTATTAAACAAAACATTAGTTTTGAGCACATTTAGCTGGTCAGAGATTGAACGACTGAAGGATGCGTGCGATGCAATAGTAGACCGTCGGACGCAAGGCATGCCTCACGGAACACCTTGACCCTTAAGAGAACGCTGCGCTCTGGAACTATCCATCCTGCGCCTCCTCACATATTCCGTTTGATGAAATGTTGCGCAGATGCTCCAAAACAGACGCAAACGAAAACTCAGCTGCGCCTACTTTCCACTCTCTTGCCACTTTTCACACATCATTCCGCCGCAGACGCCGGCCGAGGAAATCCGCTGCGTCCGCCTGCGAGCGCAGCGGATACCCGCAGGAGGACCACAGCTGCTCTTCCGATGAAAGGCACCTCAATGTCACGGCTCCGCGCTGCGTGTCAGAGAGAACCCCCCACCCCTCCACCCCCGCTCCCCCCTCGCTGCACTCATGTGAGACCACAGAGCGGCATACAATCAAGCGGTGCGTAAGCATCGTTTCCATAGGAATATAGTTAAAAAAAAAGAGAAAAAAAAATATGTGACGTACCTGTTCGCGGCAATGTGCGGCACTCACCGCATAATCCTCCTTTCTTCAACTTCCAACTTTTTTTTTTTTCTTCTCCTACCTCCCAAACCCCTCCTCCGATTCCTCGATTCGAGCCGCCGGGTGCTTGCCGCACGCACTTGTTCACTGAATACTTTTCTTTGCGCTGTCTGAGAACTGACGGAGGTGGCAGGCTGGAAGCCTGCGGTTCAACATGTCACCGGATTGCTGGAATCAGACGGAGCAATCCATTCCGCGGCGGAGACAGTGCCCGATGTGGCCAAAAAGCAGCTGCGCGCAAGGAAATCAAGATGAACAGCACTACTACTAATAAATAAAAGAGAGACACGTCTTTCCGTCGACTTTCTTCTGGAGTGGAGGATACAGCGGCGGGGGGCGCAGACGTGCATGCTCTGCAAGACGACTGATCGGCGGCGTGGGGAGGGGGGCAGGGATGGCTGCGCGCAGCGGAAACCAGGGAGCGACCATGGAGATTCGCATGCAGAGCGGAGAGCAATGGCCGGGGCTCGCGGAGCGCGCGCTCACGGCCGAGACAAGTCAGTGGTCATTAATGGCCGAGTAATCCACTGTGGGCTGTCTGGCTGCAGCTGCATCCCTGCAACATGGCACGAAGGGGATCAACAGTGATTAAACACCTAAAGAGTCACCTAAATTGCGCTGCAGTCAATCTTTCAGAGGTCCCTTCCAATGAATCGACTAAATAGGATGCAATGATATGATGAAAGCATCGATATGACTGTTCATTAAATGTTCTACAGTTTTGTCGTACATAGACATCTATCGACACATACAGGAAGTTGTGTCTCCAAACCTAGTTTTGGTGCTAAACCCACACTTTTTTTTTTTTTTCTTGTACAAATTGCAGTAGATCCCAAGGTACCTGAGCTGCCTGTCTTGGCACTTAGAAGGACTGGTGGCCTTTAATTATTTGCAAGAAAAATTAGAGCAAATGAACCTTTACTGTTAAGCACCAGCAACATAAAAAATAAAGAGTTGATAAATTACACCGATCTTTGCCTCAACACCTAACCCAACTTATGCTTAAGGTTAGAATACCATACGAACGAATCCATTTGTGTTGCAACCTACCCATCAACCAGGACAGGAAAACTAGAAGATCCACCAAAAAAAAGTAGCATTCATCATAGAAACTGTAAAGAGTCTCCGGAGGGGCTGCAGAGAGCCTTAGCTCAGGTAGGCGAATCTGCAACCATTAGATGTCCACTTTACAAACGTTACCTTTTTTTTTTTTTTTTGCCTCAAAGTCTCTTTTGCTCCAAGTCTCGTTTTTCTAGCCATGTATTCAAACTTTTCATTAAATATAATATTAATAACGGTAATCTGTTGGCTAATCATGTTCCCCATCTCAAATTTAGGCTCCCTCAACTTTAAGATGCATCTCCTCTTCAACACATCCGACTCAGACAGCTAGCTCGTTAGCAGAGCTCTGGAGAGCTCTGAGGAGGGAGTTTTGCCATTTGCATCAGGTGTGTACGATCAGGGACACGTCTGAAAGCTGCAGGACGCCGGAACTCAAGGACTGGAATTTGAGACCTTTGTCCTCAGTAAAGTCTGCCAATTTTACAATGAAATTGTGAGTTCTGATTGAGGGTACCTGTAGCAGACGAAATATTTTTGCAAAGGTCATATCAATTACAGACTCCATTTGTCTTCCCAGCAACAGAGTAGAGTGAGTTCTGGAAGGGTGAAATCTGGCTGCTTACAAATAACACGGACAATTAAAACTCATAACAAGTTGTTTGTTCAAAAACTAATTAAATAATAAATGTATTTTTTATATAAATGCCCAATTTTATTCTTGGATTCTGAAGACAAAGATGCTGAGAATCAAATGGTCTTATTTTAAATTCTGACGTCTAGAGAGCCTCTTAATTTGGAAACATGCAATTCTCTCTCGGAACTCATGATCCAACCAATCACGAGGTGCCGCTTGGTTTTCATAATACAAAAAAAAAAAAAAAAAAAAAATTTATTTTTTTTTTTTTATTTTTATATATATATTAATAAATTAATTTTTTTT